TTTCCCCTCCATCTCTTAGTCCCTTTGCCTTTTACAAAAGATCAATCTCCTTATTTCTTATTATCTATCTTTTATTTTACTCTTTATTTATGTTTTGGGTTTCTCATGTCAGAGAAAGCATGTGATATTTAAGCTTGTGTGTCTGATTTATTTTTCTATGGTCTCATCCTTTTTTCTACAAATGAGTCAAATTTATCCTTCTCAGCTATTATCTAGAATATATAAAGAACTCAAAAAATCAGACCACTCAGATTTAAAGACCCAATGGAAAAATGGGCATGTGAAATAGAATGACACTTCTCAGATGAAGAATTAGAAATGTGGAATGTGGGAGTAAGGACTGAAATGTATAGTAGATGTTGGGAAGTGGGAAGAAAATGTTCAAATGGGAAGGGGAACAGGGAGGAGGGAGGGAGAAAGGAAGGAAGGGACAAAAATGGTGAAAATTGAAGGAATAAATGGAAACAAAGCTTTTGTATATAGGGAGGGGAGGAGGCTTGAAGGGGGAAAGGGATAAAATAAAATTTATTTAAAAATAAAATAAAAACAAATTTATTCTTTCTTATGGAATCTCCACAGTGATTTCCACAGTGGTTCCACCAGTCTACACTCCTACCAACTGTGGAGAAAGGTTCCTTTATCCCAACAGCCTCTCCAGCATTTGTTATTGTTTTTTATTTTTTTGGTTAGGGTTAGGGTTAGGGTTCGGGTTAGGATTGAACTCTGGCCCTTGTGCTTGCGCAGCAGGCAGCGAAACCACTGAGCTAAATCCCCGGCCCTCCCAGTGTCGTTTTCATTTGCATCTCTTGAATGACCAGTGATGGTGAACATTTTTTCATATATTTATTTACCATTTGTACTTCATCTGAGCAGTACCTATTGATTTCAGGTGCCCATTTTTGGATTGGGTCTTTAAATTTGGGTGGTCTGGTTTTTTTGAGTTCTTTTATATTCTATATAGTAGCCTTTTATCTGAGGAACAGGTGACAAAATTTTTTTCTTACATTGTGCATTGTCTTTTCACTCTGTTGGTGGTTTCTCTCACTGTGGAAAAAAAAGGTTTATTTTTTGGTACTAGGGATTGAACTTGGGTCCTTGTGCTTATGCAGCAGGTGGCATAACCATGGAACTAAATCCCTGGCCCAAAAGCTTTTTTAATAAGATGAGATCCCAGTTGTTGATTCTTTGTGATAGTACCAATGGGACTGAAGTTTTATTTATAAAATCTTTACTTACACCAATGTCTTCAAGAGTTCTGCCTATTCTATCTTTCAGCATTTAAGTGTTTCTGTTTTAATACTTAGATCTTTGATCCATTTTGATTTTAGTTGAGTGCGTGGTGAAAGGCATGGGTCCAGTTTTAATCTTTGGCAAGTAGGAAGCCAGTTTTTCCAGCACCATCTATTAAAGAGTTTATCTTTCTTCTAGCAAAGGTATTTCACTACTTTGTCAAGGATAAGGTGACTGAGTATGTCTGGAATTGTTTCTTCATCTTCTAGTCTGTTCCATTGATCCTCAGGTCTGTTTTTTTTTTTTTTTTTTTTTTTTTTTTTTACAGCTTTGTAGTATAATTTCAAATCAGGGATTGTGTTGCCTCCTGCCTTGCCTTTCTTGCCCAGGACAGCCTTTGCTATTCAAGGTCTCTTCTGATTCCAAATGAATTTAGGATTATTTTCGCTATTTCTGTGAGATATGCTGTTGGAATTTTGATTGGAATTGCATTAGATCTGTGTAACAGGCCAGGGATTTAGCTCAGTGTCACTGTGTCTGCCTTGCAAGCACAAAGTCCTGAGTTCAATCCCCAGTACCAAAAAAATCTGTACAACAATTTTTCAAGTATAGTCATTTCCACCATATTGGTTCTTTCTGCCCAAAAATAAGGCATATCTTTCCATTTTCTGATATCTTCTTCAATATCCTTTTTTCAGAGTACAGTAGTGTTCAATGTAGAGGTTTTCTACTTCTTTTGTTAGTATGATTCCTAGGTATTTCATTTTTTGGGATGCTATTGTTTTTTCTTG